ACATACATACATACAGTATATATACGCTCTGCCATGTTGGGGCGGTGCCAGTCTCTCTGGAGAAATTTTGAGTTTAAGAGGAGGAATCCTCCTCGACAGGATGGAGAATGTGTCTCCTCAGAAACTCCACCTCCCGCTCTGCTTCTCGGAGTTTCCTGCGTAGTGTCTCATTAGATTTTTGGAGCCTCAGGTTTTCCTGTGCAAAATAAATAAATAAAAATTCATTAGATTGTAAATTTAAAAACAACAAGCAGAGCTTTTGAGGTGCGTGATGTGGCGATCCTGCACTCACTGATTCCAGAGATTCGTAGCTGGGTTTGCTCCCCTCCACCGGCTCTTTGGGCTTTTGCAAAACAGAGGCTCGGTTTTCCCACTTCGCACAATGTTTTCTTACGGGCACGGGGCTCGGGCATGAGGGGAGGGTGGGCGGCACGGGGACTAACAGAGACGGCTGCGGGCGACTGGCTTCGGCAGTCGGAGAGGACAGCTGAAGTCCCTCGGTCTGGGTGTAGCTGTGAACTCTCACAGGCCGCAGAGGACAGGTGACCGGGGAGTCAGGACTCCAGTCTTTCCTGACGTCTGGTGGGAAAGGGAACGGGCATTCTTCTGAACCTAAGGAGAGTGTCAAACTGTCACTCTGTTTGCAAACACCACAAACACAAAATGACTCAGTTCAGTTTAGCACGTCATAAGTTAGAAAAAATTATGTAGCAAAATGTCCCGTTGGCATAAACATTGCCCACACATGCTAAAACAGTTTTCATGATAAGTCAGTCTATATTAAGTYGGATCAAAAGGGCTTCTGCTCTGAATATAGTAACTTTCTTGCAGCAGGTGGGCAGCTTGAAGATTACTGTAAGTGAAACCATTAATAACAGCTGGAGGGAAATTACCCTGACTTCACACTCTGAGATCAGGAGTTGTTTGGTTTCAGTTGTGGGCAAACTTGAACTTAAACCATCTGAAATGTGACTTTTAGCCTTTTCTACTTCTCTATCTGTGGTGGACAGGGATTTCAGGAAACAGCTCTCTTTCCGAATAAACAAAAAAACAAAACAAAAATTCAGCCAGCAGATGGCACAGCTCACAGAACTTAAGTCTCATACTGTTCATATGTGCACACATCAGGTGGGCCACTTGTCGTTTTGTTGTGATTGTGTGACAAACTGTCAATGAACTGATGTGTAATTAGCCGGGCCCACGCCGGGAAACAACCCACCGTCTGAGGTTCCCGTGGTGACAGAKGCGGAGCTCAGCGTCGGACTGTCCATGGCGTTGGCCAGTTTGGCGTTCTTCTTGCACTCGAACGCCACCTGGTCCTTGCACAGCTTGTGACAGTTCATGCCGCAGTCTGCGGAGGTCAGAAGAACGCAACAAGTCACGACAGGAACTGAGGAGCTCGACGTCAACGAGCCGACTTCCCGCTTCTCTCTGAACACAACCTGCAAGTACAACCTCGCAGACCGCTGCAAGCTCAAGCAAACAAATAACTTTTCAGATCTTTTGAAGAACGTGGGAGGGGGAAACCTGTGGCTCCGAGTGCAGAGTCTTTCTGTTTGGTCCCCCGCCTCCCCTCCCCTCCCCTCCCCTCTGTGCTGCAGGGTTCAGTTTGCATTATGAAACCGACAGAAACCACATCACCTGCTCTCCACTACAGAGTGCAGTTACCTTCTTGTTTCTGAACATGGCACTTACAGTAGCCAGAGATGGGCATGGCAAAGATAGCTGTGTATGATAATTACCCCTGCATCTGTAGCCTTGCTTGATGACACCCCACAACTGCAAAGAATGTGAGAAAAACACATTTTTACATCACTGAATATTAAAAGGAAAGGAACCCGAGATTAAATCAGAAGAAGGCGAGTTTAGATAACATGTTTACTTACAAATCCTGAGCAGTTATCACAGAAGGTGGGTTTCATGTACGTCGTCTCCTGGAAGTTGTGGACAAAACCTAAACCCAGTTTGGAGCAGATTACGCTGGCCCGCATGAAATAAGCCGTGATCTCCTCTCTGTTAACGAGTCCTTCCCTTAACAAGCACAAACACACCATAAACTCAGACTTTTTACCAAAACAAAAAGCACAGCTTTGAATGACAGACATTTCTTTGTTATGATTTATTAATATCTACACCCACTCGTATATCTTGTGTGCTGAACACGCCGGCATTTATTCGCTGTGTACTGTTTAACACTGTAACGTCACCTTTTGCTGGTTTTCCTGTGAGTATTTAGAGGCGGCTTTCTGGTTCTTTCTGCCGCTATTTTATGTTTCCTGTTGCTATGTTCATTACTCGAAATACCACTTTTGCTTCCTCCCCTCTGAAGTCACAAACGAGACGAAAGTGAGCGTGCGCGACCAGTCAGATACCCACTTTTCTTTGTCCATGACACAGAAGGAAAAAGGAAAGCTGGCTGCAATTTTCTCAAAGTCTTCATGGGAAATAAAGCCGTTCTCGTCGTGATCGTAGTTCTTAAACACGGACTGTGGAAGACAAT